CAGGGTCTACAGGGTCTCACTATGTAGATGGGACTTGTAGTGATTCTCCTGTTTACAGCTTCCCAACTGCTGGGATTAGAGGTGTGCACCATCACGCCCAGTCTCAGTTGCTGTCTCAGGTGCGCCCAGGGGGCAGGGCCGGCACAGCAAGATGGGGATGGAACCCTGGCTGCACTTTGCCTAAGTAGGAGCTTTAGTCTGCTGAACTATCAGGCCAGTGCAAGCATTGCAATCTTTTTAAATTTTAATTAATTTTTTTTGTTTTTGGTGCCAAGGACTGAACCAGGGCTTCTGGCTTGCTAGGCAAGCATTCTACTACTGAGCCAAATCCCCAGCCCCTGCAATCTTAACAATAAGATTTTAGATGTGGAAGATGTCTAGCAATATTACTGGGAAACTTATGAAGAGTGCACCTAAATGCAAGTCACATGACACTAATTTTGTTTTCCTTGTTGGCCTTACAGAGGAATGGGAACCATTAGAGTCTGTGTTCAGGTTTGAGCCTACCTTGTGTGTGAAACCCTCATCAAGTTAGAAAAATGATCTGAGTTACAATAGAAGGGTTTAGGCAGCAATGATTAAAGCACATGTACATGTGGTAGGAAGAAAACATTTGTTCTTCAGGGATTTTTGCTAGGTCCAGTGTAATTACTTAACAAGGCAGATTTGAAGCTATAGTATCCCTATTAAATTAAAAAATGTAAAATATATCAACTTAGAATACAACTGAATGTAACTGACCCAAAACTCAAGTCAAAAGCACAGTAAAATTCAACAGGTTGTATATATATTTTTAAATTAAGTTTTATTTATTTATTTATTTATTTTTTGTGGAACCAGGGATTTGAACTCAGACCCTTGAGCTTGCCAGGCAAGCACTTATTCTACTGAGCCATCTCCCTGGCCCTATATGTATATATTTTTAACACATGCACGCATTATTACATTGAGTCTTACCTCTGATTATGAGACATGTAATTTACTTTATCATCCCAGGAAATTAAAAACAGCCAGTGAAACTGAACATCTTGCCTTTGGCGACAGGTAGTTACTGGGGAGTGAACCCAGGGTTTTTGGATTGAGGTACATGCAGGCCATCTTTGTTCTTTCGATACAGGGTCTCACCAAGTTGCCTGGGCTGGCTTGGTTTTGTGATCCTCTTTCCTGAGCCGCTAAAGTGCTAGGGTTATGGGTATGTACCACCATGCTCTGCTGATGCAGTGCTTTTTAGTGTAAAATATATAAACATAATAGAAGCTAACAATTTTTAAAAACAGTGCATATTTTTGTTTACCAAAGGATCTCCATAGTTCTGCCTGTAATTTTCTCATGTCACTCATGTGTATGTGAAAAGCAAAATAAAAGTAAAATAAATTAAGGTATACTTGAAACCTTCATATTTACACAGACTATCACTGTGACAGCCTGAATGTCTGACTTTACCCACAAATTTCCACTCTGCTCCCATAGAGAGAAATACTTGAAAAGTTTTGGAATCTGGAGTATTTCAGATTTTTGGATTAGAGACATTCAACTAGTAAACTGTGTAAACATTCCAAAGTCAAAAAAAAAAAGCTAGAGTTGGGACCAGTTCTTGTCCCAAGCATTTCAGGTCAGGGATACTCTTCTTGTGTCAGAATTTCATTCCTGAGTAGGTAGGTAGGTAAGTAGATATATCCACATTTGTTTATCCATTCATCTGTTGATGGCCTTTTCAGTTTCCATTTTTGGGCTGTTGTGAATGATACTGCTATGAACATTGATGTACAAGCGTTTGAATTCTTGCTTTTGATTCTTTTAAGTATTTGCTTTCAGTACTATTTTTGTTTGTGTTTGTTTGCAATTCAGGCTGGCCTTGAAATTACTTTGGAGCCCAGGCTGGACTTGAACTTGCAGTAGTCCTCCTGTCTTACCCTCCCAAGGGTTTGGGATTACAGGCATGCTACTGTACTGCCTTTGGGGTTTTTGTTTGCATTCTAAATTTGGGTTTGGGGATATCTTTCTTTTTTGTGTGTGTGAATTTAAGAAACACCCTTCTTAAAGTAAAGGAAATTGGTGTTTTTCTCTCTTTTGTAGTAAGTCTGTCTTGTGTTTAAGTCATATGTTACTAACAACAAGGACACATTCTGAGAAAGGTCACGGTATGAAACTCAGAGTGAACTTACACAGACCTCGAAGGTAGAAACTTGCACAGTGAACACATACTATACATTATCGCCCATGCAGTGCTTTTAGCATGGCTGGCAGTACAGTAACTTTGTTCACTTAGCATCACCACAGAGCTGTGAGCAGTGTTTTATGCTGTAGTGTTTTGACAGCTAGCATGTCGCTAGGACATAGTTTTCAGCTCAGTTACAATGTTTCAGACACGAAGGCTTTCATTGACTGAAACATCATGCAGTGTTGACTGACTGTAAAACAATTGGCGATATGGACTTAATTCTTTCCTTGATTCTGATTGTAAACCAAATTGGACAAAAAACAAATCAAATTTTCCCATTTGGTCAGCATTGAATCTAACCATTACATTTAATTTGGTCCTAGCCAGATATAGTGTAGCATCCAGCACATGGGAGGGGAGGCCAAGGCAGGAGGATTCCTGAGTTCTGATTTGGTTCTCATCCAAATTCGATTTATCACCAGAATTACAGAAATAATTTGTGACCCCAGGTACTACTGCTGTTGTTAAATGTGTTGGTCCAGCATGCATTCTTGCCTATGTTTGAGTTTGATGCACTGATGGAATTGTTAGTTTCCAGAGAGAAAAGATTCTAGAATCTTTAAGTCTGTGAATAGGTCTTCCCCTAAGTGGCCCAGACAAAAACCATCAGGCAGTGTTTTTCCATGTGGACCTGCTTTGTTCATGTCTACTTCTCTTATGATTGAATCTTTCAGCAAGAAGACAGTTTCGTGGTGGGCACAGCTGAAGGCACAGTATTCCACTTTCAGCTGGTCTCTGTGACTTCCAACAGCACTGAGAAGCAGTGGGTGCGGACTAAGCCATTCCAGCACCACACCCATGACGTGCGCACTGTGGCCCACAGCCCAACAGCATTGATATCTGGAGGTGAGTAGTCCTGTTCCTGGCTAGTCGCCACTTTAGTCTGCCGAGATCTAGTTATTTTCACATTTCATCTTCTGTCTTCCTTCTTCCCTCCACCTTACTGCAGGTACTGACACCCACTTAGTCATTCGGCCTCTCATGGAGAGGGTGGAGGTAAAGAATTACGATGCTGCTCTCCGGAAAATCACCTTTCCCCATGTAAGTATCACTGTCCCAGCAACTGTGTCCCCTCATTCTCCATCTGTCCCACAAGACTTTGAACATGTTTTACACTTTCTGGGCAACTTTGTAGGCTTTTCTATGGTACCCTTCTCCATTTTTCTATTTTCTAAGGCAGGCCTCCTTCAGTCTTGGGGCACAGGAGTTTTGCAGCAACATAATTCCTTTTTCCTAATAATTGTGACTTACGAGAATTTGGTTATTTTCTTTTCTGTTATTCTGAGAAGCAGCAGAAAAAATCCAGACTCCTGTGTTTCTTTCTAAGTAAATTTTCAAGGGAGTCCTCTCCACACCTTGTTTCCACATCCCATTTACCAGTGACCTGACTGCTTCTGTCTTCTCGTCATACTATATGGACACAGCCATCCACAAACATCTTTATTGAGATACACCTGGAACACAGAAATTACACATATTTAGTGTATATGATGAGTTTGCTTGGACATAAATCCAACCAGTGAGAGGGTTAGGCATAGCCCTTTTTATTATCCCTTAGTCATTTCTTTGTGCTGCAGTTGCCCTAGTTTGGATCAGTGTCTTTAATCTAAAGAATTAAGGAGTAGCTTTCTTAATGATCTCCTTTTATTTCCATTTGTGTCATTATAGCCTTTTCTCTGTTGATCTGCTTAAAAAGCAACTTTGTTCATTGTTCCATGCTTAAAAGCCTTTGTTTGTCCCTACTGTCCCCAGCATAGAGACCTAGTTCCTTAGCATGATGTATTGAACCTGCCAGTCTTGGACTGGTCCTTCAGGCTTCTCTCAGCATTCCTTTTACATACTTGTAGCAACTCCTTCCCCACCCAGGCTAGCCTGCTGAAAGTCTTTTATTCCTTTACCCTTTTACATTTGAACTATTTCACACACCATTGTTTCTTCCTACAATATTCTGCCTTGCCTTCTTTGCCTAACTAGTCTTTCTCATTTGGGCTCCTGTATTTACCCCATAAGGCTAAGTTAGATGTCCTTCTGCTTTTTTATGTTGTATACTGTGCTTAGTCATGTTAGACTTTTTGACATGCTGTAGTATAATTGCCTATTTAATTTTTTATCATCCTTTAGACTAGAAGCCTCCTAAAAGCAGTATCTGTTTTTAGTCACTGTTGTGTCCCCAGATCCTAGGGCAGTGCCTAGCATGTCGTAGGATTTAGGAAATGTTTCCCAAGTCTGGATTTCTACAGTAAAAAAGGTGCTGAGCTTTTGCTGCTCTGTTTGGTACTGAGGCAGTAGGTGATGACCCTGCCCTATTTATAACTTTCCAATTCTTGAATACAGCGGCGACTCATTTCCTGTTCTAAAAAGAGGCAGCTTCTCCTCTTCCAGTTTGCTCATCACTTGGAACTTTGGCGACTGGGATCCACTGTTGCAACAGGTAAGATAGAAGAAAGTTTTTTAACATGAAAACTGGAAACTAGATTTAATGCCTATAATCTCTGCAGTTTGGAAAGTTGAAGCAGGAGGATTCACGTTTGGAAAGTTGAAGCAGGAGGATTCACGTTTGGAAAGTTGAAGCAGGAGGATTTGCAAGTTTGAGCTCAGGGAGGGCAAATTAGGAAGACCCTGTCTCAAAATAAAAAAGAAAGGGCTGGTAAGATTTGGTCTCCCTAGATTCAGTCTCCAGTACCGGGGAAAAGAATTGTGCAGTAAATCAACATTTTTCTGATTTCCCACGGGAAACTTCTATTATACCAAGGAGTGACTTCTTACATGAAAAAATTACAAATAATCTTTTGATAAGAAAAACTCAGCGAAGTTTCTTGTTTCAGGCAAGAATGGGGATACTCTTCCACTTTCTAAAAATGCAGATCATTTACTACACCTCAAAACAAAGGTAAGGAAGGTTCACTGTGTGTTCATTCTCTGAAATCCAAAACATTTTCTCAGTCTGAATTTTAGGGGATGAGTCCTAAACTGCATAAATTACTAAAATTACTTGAGGGGCCGAGGAGATGGCTCAATGGAATGAGTGCTTCCCTGGCAAGCACAAGGGCCTGAGTTCAATTCCTGGTTCCACCAAAAAAAAAAAAAAAAAATTACTTGAGTGAAGGACTGTTGTCACCAGAGCTAGGTTTCACGTGATTATAAGTGGGGCACTGAGAATGTAGTAAATAAATGCTTAAAATGCAGAAAATAGTTTTTGATCTTTTAATATTATGAAAAAGACATGAATATTTTTAAAAACTCAGATGGTGTAAAGGGAATAGAATGAAATATGAGCCTCTTCCTCACTCCATGCTTTTCTTGTCCATTCTACAGAGATATACTCTGTCAATTTTTTGCATATCCATCTCAAAATTTTTCCACTGTTGGGCCTGAGATGTAGCTCAGTGGCATAAGCGCCTGCCTGGCAAACATAAGGTCCCCTGTTCTATCCCTGGTACCACAAAAAATAAGTAAATAAATGAATAAAAATTTAAAAAATTTCCACTTTTTATATGTGTATCCTTTTTACATTAAATAGACCTATTAGGCAAACTCCTGTTATCTTTCTTTTAAAAAGATCTTTTTCTTTCTTTCTTTCTTTTTTTTTTTTTTGGCAGAACCTGGGATTGAACTCAGGCCCTTGCGCTTGTGAGGGAAGTACATATTCCACTGAGCCATCTCCCTGGCTTAAAAAGATCTTTAGGCTGGGTGTGGTGGCCCACACTTGTAATTTGAGCACTTAGGAGGCGGAGGCAAGAGGATCTCTCAGTTCCAGACCAGCCTGAACTACATAGTGAGGCCCTGACTCAACCTCCCTCCCCCTAAAAAGCTCTTTACTATGAACATTTGTGAATATAATCTCACCATGAAGAATTCAAGTAGAATATTTTATGTCCTTCACCTCTAATTCATCTTTTTAGTTTATTTATTTATTTGATACAGGGTCTTGCTATGCAGCTCCGACTTGTAGTGTTCCTCCTGTTTCAGCCTCCCTAGTGCTGTGCCATGCCTGGGGTTCTGGGGCTGACACGGCATGTGGTACGGAGATCAAATCCAGGTCTTTGTGCTTGCCAGACAGGCACTTAGACTTCCAAGCTATCTCCCAAGTCCCACTACCTCTAATTCTATTTCTTCTTAAAATTGTTAATTGATGACCCTTTCTTTCATATCTTTTTTTCGTGTGTGTGTGTGTGTGTGTGTGTGTGTGTGTGTGTATTGGGGGAAGGGGGAGAGAGAGAGAGAATGAGAATTTTATATACAAAATGTATAGTACTGAGCCTGGTGTTGCACACCTGTAATTCCAGCACTTGGGAGGCTAAGGCAAGAGGATTAGTACAAATTTGATGTCAGCCTATGCTACATAGTGAGTTTGAGAACAGCCTGATCTACTACATAGCAAGATCTCTCTCTCTCTCTCTCTTTTTTTTTTTTTTTTTTTTTTTGGTGGAACTGGGGATTGAACTCAGGTCCTTGCGCTTGCCAGGCAAGTGCTTATTCCACTGAACTATCTCCCCGGCTTTATTTTACTTCTATTTATTTATTTATTTTTTCATAGCAAGCAAGATTTTTTTTTTTTAATTTTTATTTATTTGTTTATTTGTGTGTGTGTGTGTGGCCAGTTCAGCCCACCAGGGGGCGGGGCTGGCTGGCATGTGGTGCTGGGGGATTGAAGTACAGTCCCTGTCCTTTGCTAAGCTTGTTCTGAGTAGGTGCTTTAGACCATTGAGCCATCTCACCAGCCCCAACAAGCAAGATCTTGTCTCAAGAAAAAAATACTTTTAAATTGGTTTTTTTTTTTAAATTTATTTATTTATTTATTTATTTTGTGTGTGTGTGGCCAGTTCAGCCCACCAGGGGACGGGGCTGGCTGGCATGTGGTGCTGGGGATTGAACCGAGGTCCCTTATGCTTTTGCTTAACTTAGCTTGTTCTAAGTAGGTGCTTTAGACCACACTGAGCCATCTCACCAGCCCTGTTTTGGTTTTTGAGGTTTTTTTTAATTATACAAATGTTATGTTGGACTTTTCCTTTATTCTTCAAATATTTTCATTTACTCTTTCAGAGACGTCTTTAAATCAAGTTATCAGAGGCAAAAAAATTAAGTATTCAAAATCACTTACCTTCCCAAGCTTGTCTGCACAAAATCCTCCCTTGCTCAGGTCTTCCATATATGACACTCAAAATAAACCAGGTTTGTTGAGACACACCTCTCATCCCAGTACTTAGGAGGCTGAGGCGGGGGAATCCCAAGATCAAGACCAGCCTGGAAGGCCGGGGAGATAGCTCAGTAGAATAAGCGCTTGCCTGGCCAGCATAAAGGCCAGAGTTCAATCCCCTGTTCCAAAAAAAAAAAAGAGACCAGCCTGGACTATCTAGCTTTATTCTTGGATTTGAAAGTTTAAATAGAGCTTTACTCTTGGATTTTGAAATGAAAGCCATAATCACAGTGAAATACAACATCTGAGGATCATGTATATGTATTTGTAGATATGGCCAGAGCCCGAGGATGCATATCACAGTGAACCTTGTATCTTGCTTCCTACTGTTGCCAGGGCCCTGAGAACATTATTTGCAGTTCTATCTCCCCATGTGGAAGCTGGATAGCCTATTCTACAGCGTCTCGGGTTTTTCTCTATCAGTTGAGTTATGAACATGACAACATAAGTCTCCGTAGGGTAAGTGATAGCCCAGTGTGTGCTTACACAAAAGAGAACTCCCTATAAATGTATTTTTTCTGTGAGATGGAAATGAATTGGGTAAGAGTCCTTGTACAGTGAAAAACTATTTAGAGATGGTTGTGGCCAAAATCCTTTATTTCTGTTTTTAATTGATGGGGGTGGGGAAGACAGAAGTAATAGTAAGCCTAGGCTCTTCTGCTTAGTAGTTTATGTTTAATTATTTCCATGGTAGAGAATAATGTACTTGCTGTCAAGGTGAAAAGGGGATAACAGGCTATAAGAGGCAGGCCAGTGTTCTGGGCCCTTGGTCAGTGGCTTGCCAGGGGATGGGACATACTCATTTAAGTTATAGGCTGGTTGCAGTTGCTTTTGTTGGGATTATGTCTACTCTCTTTCATTAACCTTCACTGTTGGTTCACCCATAGGTCTCCAAAATGCCAGCCTTCCTTCATTCTGCCCTTCAGATTTTGTTTTCTGAAGATTCAACAAAGCTCTTTGTGGCATCAAATCAGGGATCTCTACATATCATTCAGCTATTAGAAGGAAGCTTCAAGCACCTGCACACTTTCCCTCCTCAGTCAGGTAGGAGTCTGGTGTCGCAGATGCAATGTTTTTCCTTTTAGACGTCAGTGCCCAAGGGTCTCAGACACTCTTCTGCCTGCAGATGGGCTTGCTCCCATGTTGCAGCCTATGGTAGGAGGTGGCGTCTGGCGAGTGAGGACGCTGTCTGCGAGGTCTGACGTGCTCTTCCCATGAGCTTTTAGTTCCTTGTGTGGGGGCTGAAGAAGTTCTGTCATCTTTCCTAAGTTTTATTGGTAAAGTAAGAACTGATCTGTAATCCTGATACCCACAAATAAAAGTAACTATGCTTAATCTTTTGGTTTTTTCCAGTGTATATATGTGGATTTTACTTGTGTTCATTTAATATTTATGACTTTTTTTAACATTCCTTGAGAATATGAGTATGCATCAGTGAGCATGACTATATATATACAGTGTGGTTCCTTGGTTTACAGACTCAATTTGTTTGACAGTTCTAGGGAAGATGGCCATGTTTGTCACCAGATTTTGTGAATGGAAGCAGAATTTTGCTGAACGCTTTTGTCTGTGAACTGAATTGTTTGCAAGTAGAAGTATTTGTGAACAGAGGTATTACTGTGCCAAGCATTGTGCAGTTAATATTGTGGACCTAAACTTTAACATCCAATTTAAGTTGGTAATTGGGCATACTTCCCATGGGCCTTTCCCTTCTTCCTTGTTTTGCCTCTGTTGTCATTAAAACTCCAGCACTCTGGAAATGTAACTCTTCCATTCTAACTGTCATTTTTCATAAGTTACACTAGCACCGTACAGAGGAAATCTACATTTTTAGCAGTTAGATATATTAAGCTAACAACTAATTTTTGGTACTCAAAAAAGGAGGAAGAACTTATGTTTAGTACCTGTATATTGGATTTATTGATACCTGTATGTTTTTAATTACAAAACTTAGACTATCTTGAATGTACCACTTTCTGCCATTCCCACTCATCCTTTAACAGTTGGTTTACGTCTTGTTGTAAATTACTTTCATTGTTTGAGGATGTTATGAACAGCATTTACTTTGGCATGTAGCATCACTGTCTGTATTCTTTTCATTATTCTGTATCTTCCTATTATCAAATTGATTTCAAGTTCCTCAGTGATAATAGTGGCCTGTACATGCCCATTCGTGCTAAATAAAGAGCAGGCACACAATAAACTAAAGACATTTTTTAAGTCTGTCAAGATTGCTGTGTACCCTTTGTTTAAGTTTAAATGACTTAGGAGCTTGAAACAAATACATAGATTTTAGTGGTAAATGCTACCCTGATGTTGAAAGTATTAGAAATTATCTTATTCAAGCTTATATAAGTGATGCCTTCGATTGTAAAGTAGGCTAGTTTTTTAAAGGTTAACCTGTGGAAATAATTTGCACAATTCTCAACATTAATTTGCACAATTCTGTCAGTAATTCAAAACTGTGGTTTTTGTTGGCTTCTACCATTGTCTTCAGGGCAGTGCTGGCTATGGATACTGAATTCAGAGTCTGAATTGTTGTTCTGCCCTTACAGGGACGGTGGAGGCGATGTGTCTTTTGGCAGTCAGTCCAGATGGGAATTGGCTAGCTGCGTCAGGTACCAGTGCTGGAGTCCATGTGTATAGCGTAAAACACCTCAAGGTGAGCATAGGATCTCATAGCTATAGTCTGAGTCACACAAGGGATATTAGTGTTGCATTTATAAGATTCAAGGCATAGGGCCGGGGAGATGGCTCAGTACGATAAGTGCTTGACTGGCAAATGCAAGGATCTGAGTTCAATCCCCGGTTCCGCAAAAAAAAATAAAAACTACATAAACCAACAAATTTGTCTCCTCAGATTCCTGCTTTATTTCTCTGGAACCCAAAATCTGTACTCTGTAACATTAAAATCAGTCAGTAGCACAGTAAACTGTTGTATAAAAATTTGAGATTAAGGATTTGTAGGCAGTGAATCTACATTAGATTATTTCTATATTTGGGTAAAGGAAAATTATTATATAAATAGCTAATTTGAGGTAATTATAGTGTTTCTTTCATGACTTGCCTTATAATCTCAGGCTATTTTTAAATTCAACAGAATCATAAATTTGAAAAAAACAGTAATGGGAAAACATTTTTCACTGCTCATAGTAATACTGTCATTCATATATTCAGTCACAAATGATTCTTTGTAAGTCATCTTCATTATAAAAGGTAATAGCTACTCAAAAGTTGGAGTAAGCATTAAAATTTATAGGCAACAAACTGCAGCATTTCCTGGGTTTTGCCTGTTATGTGTAACAGTCTTTATAACATTGTGGCAGGAATATGTATTAAACGTTTATCTCTGAACCGTGCTTAGCAGAGGAACACATTTTTATGGGTTTAGTAGTAAAGTGTCTAGCGCCAAAAGGACCTGAGTTTCAGCCTCAAAAAGAAGAATGTGGGGCCAGGGAGATGGCTCAGTGGAAAAAGCACTTCCCTGGCAAGCACAAGGGCCTGAGTTCAATCCCCGGTTCCACAAAAAATAAAAGAAGAAGAAGAAGAATGTTCCTGTGTAAAGCAGAGATAGGAGTTGCACATAAATGTCTATCCCTAGGCATTAATTCCTTTTAAACCCAGTGTAGATTATGGGTTTCCTGATTAGAACATATTTATGACCAATTAGTACAAATTTACTCTGATGATGAGACCTTATTTGTGATTTACTCCTCTGCTAATTCTGTCACTTGTTTTGTATTGTTTTGTCTTTTTGAGACAGGGTCTCACTATGTAGTTCAGCCTGGCCGTGGCTCACTTTGTGGCTCAGGCTGGTCTTGAACTTGCAATGATGATCCTTCCTGCTTCAGCGTCCTGAGGGCTAGGATTAGAGGTGTGCGCCACCACCCAGCTTATTCTGTCAGTTTTATAAGTAAATATGATTTTTTTTTTTTTTTTTTGTACTTTGTACTGGGGATCAAACTTGGGACCTTGCGCCTATACCACTGAGCTATCCCCCCAGTCCCATTATTTTTAGTTTTTTATGCTAGGGATTGGTCTTAGGAGCTCATGTATGATAAGCAAATGCTCTACCGTTGAACTATATCCCTAGCCCTTTAATTTTTTTATTTTGAGACAGTGTTATTGAGTTGCCCAGGCTGGCCTCAAACTTGGGATCCTCTTACCTTACCTCATGCATCTTTTTTTTTTTTTTAAGAGGAAAAGGTTTATTTAGCTCACAGTTTGTGAAGGTTTCAATTCATACTTGGCTGGCTCCAAGGCACAGTGGTAGATGGCAGAAGGCAACAGTTCATGGTGCGTGGGGACTGGGGAGATGGCTCAGTGCAATAAGCACTTCCCTGGCAAGCGCAAGGGCCTGAGTTCAATCCCCGGTTCCACCAAAAAAAAAAAAAAAAAAAAACAGTTCATGGTGCAGAAAACAGCAGAAGCAGCAAGAGCAAAAAGGGAAGAACTTTTTTTTTTTCTTTTTGGTACTAGGAATCAGACTCAGGACCTCACACTTGCAAGGCAGGTGCTTGTGCCTCTGAGCAACACTTACTCTGGTTCTTTTTTTTTTTTTTCTTTTAATGATAATGAAGCTCCCTGATAATGAAATGGCTGAAGTTTATGGGAATTTCCTTAGAACTCTTCTGAGTTCCAAAGAAAGACTCAAAAACAACGGAACTAGAGACTGGAGGTGGAGGTCAGTGTGCAGCACCTGTTTAGCATGCACAAGGCCCTGGGCTCAGCACTTGCGACACATAATACACGTACACAAAACACCAATAATAATAATAATAATAATAATAACTACTTGCCTGTACCCTATTTCTTGAAGGAATGTAAACTATAGAGTTGCTCTCTGTTCTCTCTTCCCAGCTGCACTGCACAGTGCCTGCTTACAATTTTCCAGTGACTGCTCTGGCCATCGCTCCCGATACCAACAACCTTGTCATTGCTCATTCTGACCAGCAGGTGAGAGTCTAGTGCTTCCCACTCCATTAGATAGTAACCTGGAACCTGAGGTAATGGATAGTTTTGGAAGAGCTATTTCTGAAGGTGCTAGGTTATGCAGGTAGTTCCTTCTGTGTGTAGGGAATCTCTGCACGTGGCTTGGGCTCGTAGTCCTGTTCCTGTTGCTTATTGTGGTACTGCTCATGCAGTGGGATTCCAGAGCCTAGGCACATGAGAGCTTAGAGGGGTTCTGAGTTACTCATACCATTGATTGTTTGCACTAGAGATGGTGTGATGTGGGGCATTAGGCTGGCTATGGGGTACTAAGATTTGAGAGTTGAATATAACCAAAAGAACATAGATATTCTCCTACACTTTTTTTTTTTTTTTTTTTTTTTTACTGGGAACTGAACTCATGATCTCACACTTGCCAGGCAGGCAGTGTGCTACTGGGCTATATCCCCAGCCCCTCTCCTCCACTTTTGTAATAGAGGAAATGAAGCTGTAGTAAAGTCAGGTACCTAATTTTAAGCACAATGAGAACTTCGTCTGTTGTTTTTTTCCAAGGTAATTTGTAAAAGATTGTAGTCAAAGGAAGATCTCTAAAATACTTCACCTATAGAACACATTATGAAATTATTAGCACTTATATATTCTATAAAAAAGATTGTGATCCAACAAGCACATGCAAGTGGCATACTTTGCAAATATTTGATGCTTACTGCTTTAATGAGCAGTTTTTACACTCACACTGTATTCAAAAAATGAAATCTCTCTTCTCTGTTTCATTGATTTGAGATTACCAAAGTTGCATTCTGATTTGTCACATGTGAGGATAATGTCTACCTGATACCTTTCCTGCAGTTGCTCCTTTAAGTGATTGTGTCATTAAAATGGTGGGAAATATTTGTATCTGTGAGATTAGCAAAATCAAAGACAATACATAGTGTTGTGAAGGCATCGGGAAACAGCCCTCATATACACTGCATAAATTAGTGTATCCCCTTTGGAGGATATTTTGGCAGTCCATACTTTCAAAACTTTGAAGTCCATGTATACTTTTGTACAGAAGTTCCAGTTCTGAGAGTTACTATGTATGAACATTCACTTGTGCAAAAGACACTTACACAGTGGCCTCATTTGTTTTT